TACCGATTGAAGAAGACACCAGAATCTGAGTTTGGGGATTTTTATCCTGAATCCTAAGTAAGGATAAGTCAGCGCCTAACACGTGTTGTCGGGTAGTCTATTCCCATGAGAAAGACGAAGTCACGTATTCAATGTCGTAGCACTAAAAGAGTTAACTCTTTTAGCACAACGTTATGTGCAGAACGGATCTAAAGAATCTGCATGCTAGCCCGACTCAAACGGTAGTCGGTAAAGGCTCATCAAACCCGTTGATGGCTGAGAATTTGCCAAAAATTCTATAAATGCGAGTCATTGACGCACCAGCTCTACTAGTTGGTCTCGTGACTTGAGCATCCAACAAATTCAGGATAAAATCCACACATGCAGATGAATCAGCTTTAACAGTTGGTCCTGCAGCCCCAACATTTGGGACCGCCATGCTCCAATACCTTAAGAGCTTAAACTGTGTATACTCCAGTAAACGTATGAGTATAAACTGTGTTAACGTACGACGTTCGAAACCCTAGGATCAACGCCGGTCAACGCGTTGTGATCAAAAAGTCAACGCGAATCAATATATCATGACGGAGATAGTCAGTTCAAAGTCAACTCAATGACACGAGCCAAACTCAACTCATCGGTGGTAGACTCGAGACTCCGACGACGGCCAGGCGATAAACGCAGCGCCGGAAGGACTTCGGCTATTCGTCAAAGCATTGAATAGACCGAAAATCGAAGGAGCCAAGAGTTGAAGGTAACTACAGGTCCTTTTACACCGATCGAAGGCTGGACCAATCATATCCAAAGTATTCCAGCCTCTTCTATAAAAGAAATAAGTCTGGAACGCTTTGGAGGGGGTATCTATAGGCATCGAAAATTGTCTATAGGTCTCCACGAACAGCTCAAAGCTAAGAGAAGACGATGAACGTCACTATCCAAGTCACAGAAGCTTGATTGACATCGACGAACGCTTGAAGTGAATCGGCGAACTATGTGAAGCAACGGAGTTTCAGAATAATAAGGATACGAACTGATCGGGAGCCCCGTGTCACTTATAAAAGACGGAATGCCTTTCGTGTCTCATTTATTCCACAGATGATCTAATCATTGGAGCTTATAGAACTCTTCGTCAGCTTTCCAACGCACTTGGAATCACTCAAATCCGAGTTCGGACGAAGAATTTACGGCGGAAACAATCAAACAGGCATAACGGAGCGTCTCAGGCTGAACTGGGGCACCCGGGGTGTCTCGGCACGGGCGAGACACCCTAGGGTGTCTCGGCCCAGTTTGAGACACCCTGGGGTGTCTCCAACACAGAAATGGCCAGTTAGGTTGTTTTAACTGCCCGAAACCCCCTGGAGCCTATAAATACAGCTCCGGGTCCTCACTTTTTTCAGATCTGGAATTCTCGTACCTCGGCGAAGCCCTGCCGGATTGAAGACTTAAAGTACACAGATTTCAGAGAGGAGGAGGAGTTAGATCTGCAGCCCGATTCGTTCCTTAGGATTATCCCGTTGCGGTAATCTTAAGAAGAGTGATTATCTCGCTTCGACGAGATAAGAGCTACGGTTTCTCAATCCCTTCGCGGATAGACGAAGCTCTGCCCAATTTTTCAGCAATCAGATCTGATCGACGGTGGTCTACGGATAAACCACGGCACAGGCAAAGATCCCACGCAAGCAGAAGACCGATAAACGATCTCTGCGTTTGTTTGATAAAGTTGTAAACTTTTTTTGTTTTTATTGTGTAAAAGTCTTATAAAAAGACTGATTTTTGTATTCGTTGTAAACGTCTGAAGTTTGTAATGAATCTCGCAATGAAACAAGCAACTTTCTCCGCAAACATCATTGTGTTTTCTTCCAAAGTGTTTTGGAAACACAATTTTGAGTTTCTTTGATCAATACTAGTTCGACCATTTCCATACACATATATTATATTATAATAATATCATATATGAAATATAACATATATGTTATAATATATTTTATATTAACTAATATATATTATATTAATTATATATTATAATATAGACTAATATAAGATATATATTAATTAATATAATTATTTATTATATTATATTATGTTTATTATATTATTTTTAACAGTATAATATATTTTTTGTATATTATATATATTATATATTATATTATGTTACATCAGTATACGTCATACTTTAGTTTAATATTATAATATAATATGATAAATTGATTTTATTATACTTTAACACTTTTATTATATAATACTAATTTAACACAAAATATGCTAATATAATATGTTATATTGAGTAAATTAGCAAATTATTTATTGTTTAATATTTTATATTTTTAACTATATTTTATAATTTACTATGATATTTAACTTTATTAGAATAGTAATTTTATTATATTATATTAATTTAATACAATATATAGTAATCTAATATATATTTTATTTTTGTTTTATATTTTTTATATTATATTATATTTTTCATCAATATAATAAAACATATTAATGGAAATATTAAATTAATATATTAAAAATATTTGAATATATTATATTAATATTTAAATATATTTTAAAACATCTAATAAAATTACAATATTATTTATAATATAATATAATTTATTTAACGTAGTTTAATATTGTTATACTAATATTTAGATAAAAATATTATATTAATATTTCTACAATATAATAATATATAATAGATTGAGCATTATATTGTCACAAATAATCATTTATAATATTATATAATTATATAATTTATATATTATATAAAGGATATTATATTATAATTGTATATTCTTTAATTTAATTTAATATAATATCTAACTTTACCCATAAATATTAAATTTTATTGTATTATACAAATTTGATTTAATATATGTTAATTATATTTTGTACTATATATATTTAGTAATGTATATTGACCTATATACTATTTTAGCAAATATGTAATTTATAGTAATTTTTAAATATTTTATTAAACATGTTTGAATATATTATATAATTATTAAACATATTTTTTTAGTATTATAAAAATTAAAATATTATTTATATTAAATATATTATATATATTTTATAATTTTGTAATACTATATTATTATCTATATAATATAATAATATATAATATATTGAGCATTATATTATTAACAAATTATCATTTATAATATTATAGATTATATTTAGCTATTATATTAATATCCTACCCAAACTCAAAACACCATGCAAAACTCAAAACACCTAAAATGTGTTTTCAAATAAGTGTGGTGTTTGTTATTTTTGGGTATTTTTTATCATAAAAACACCATAGTTCCCAAACACATGGTATTTTTATTTTAATAAAAACATCATGTAAATGGAGAAAACACCATGGTTCCCAAAAGCACCTAGTTTTTTCCAAGTGGCAGAAAATTTAAGAATTTTTTGGGCCATTGTTTCTTTACAAAAGATTTTGGTAATGGTTCGATATCTTTTAGACTAAAAATTACATTAGTAATAAAACCTACACGTAATCAGAAAATCAATTGCTTTATAAACTTTTAATTAATTTTAGTTGCAAATACTACATTCAGCAAGCCAAATAAAGAAACTAGAGTTTTAACACGGAACAAAAGAAATAGTACATAATAAGCTTTATGATTAGTATTTAAAAACAAAATAACATTGATAATTTACAAGTATTATCCATTGTGTCTTCCTTCTTTTTTTTCTTTTTTCTTTTATAGCAAAAACTTTTGAGAACTTTTTTTTGTTTGTTTCCGCAAGTTCCATTCGGTGTGATAGAAGGATTTTAAATGGGCCCAAAAGAAACCCTATGACTGTGTGCTTTTGTCACCGTCAGTTCACTACGCGTTATCCTTTCACCTTCCTTTTATCCTCTCTTCTCTTTTATTTTCTTTTCGTGAATATTCTGATAGGACGTGAGAGCAAAAAAACATAGAATGTCTCAAGTGTAACACGAAACAGCGATAAAGCTTGAACCCTTAAACTATGAAGTGATGGCAAATACTCGAATGTTAGGCCCATGCACGCTGTAGCTACTTTAGGCTACTTCCGTAGCTTTTTCTCCACCAAGCCAAAAGCCCTTTCCACAATCAGCCTCCAAATGAAAAAAGCGCCCAATGAGGAGGGCGAAACCAACCTTTTATGGTTGTCACCTTTAGAAATTAATTAATCGAGGTAATAATTAAGTAAGTCTAGAAGCCAACTTCTCAACTAATTATTAAGATTATAGTTCTTAATTAAGTGCACATCATGTTTGAGGCCATAGCGTCGCTCCCCCCCCCCCACTTAAAACAATGTAAAGAGACAAACGACCGGGGTGGTTTTCAACTTTTTGAACATATAAAGTTTGCATAAAGCTTGGAAGAATTTAGGGAGAAAAGGGGAGCCCAAATCGTACCAAACCTTTGAAATGTTTTAGTTCCTTAATTTGGGTGTTAGCATCTAATTCTCTTGAGCACTTGCTAGTAAAGATGAGTGGGAGAATGATTCCACCTTTATGGGTGGCTGAGTGTTTATTTGTTAAGGAGAACTTTTGCTCCTTTTTTTTTTCCTTCTAGTTTAGATGCATGATTGCAATAAGAGAGACTAAGAACGCTTCACATGGTTTTTTTTTATTTTTAAAAAGGATTCAAATTGACTTTTCATGTTGCTATTAAACTAGTAGTAGATAAGTGGTATAAACTTTTAGAAAGGAATGCCAAAAATTATTGAGGGAAACCATTCACATGTTGTCTCCCCAAATATTTACAATCATTTAACAACAATGCGCAACGTATGATTCTTTACGAAAAGAAGCATAAAGGGATGCCAGTTTTCAACAAAGCAGCAGTCCATATCTACAACCAAAGATATGCACATGTAAGATATTGCAAGCAAGATTCTTGATGTTAATTTTGGATGACCTCTTCACCTATTCCCAGCTTTATTAATAAGGTACGTTTTGTAAAAATTACACCCTAAAAAACCTGTAAATTGTTTCTGAACCACCTAGAAGTTTGCTTTTAATATTTGCTTGCATAGTATGATAAACATGAGGCAGACAAGACGGAGAAATTTCCTGAATAATTTTCTTTACATTTTGTATAAGCGTACAGCATCGACACAAAATTGAAAAAAAAAAATTCTCTGGGAAAGTACAATCTCATCTTTGCTCAAACTCTACATTTTGTATTAATAGATGATGCTGGTAACGATGATGACACTAACATACAAATGATGGCAAGCACTTCGTAGAAGATAACCTAGCACCAGCCACTACTGCCTTTCTCTGGAGAAGCTGCAGAACCTCTTAAATGATTTAAAGGAATCCAGGTATAGTGATATCTTGGTCGAGTGAAGTCTTTAAATCACCTCTTCACCTAGCTTCGCCATAGACTCATCTCTTCGATGACATAGTCTCTGCTGCTCTGCAAGCTTGCTCATCCCCGGAGGTACTGTCATCTTCCATCAACCAGCACATTTGTCTTCCCGATCACCAGAGTTTAAGACTTGCCGCCGAACCACAGAGCTCCACTTGCTTAAACTGATCATCCATCAATGTCACTGAACTAGTTAAGAGACGATAAATTTCAGTCACAATCTCTAACCAACGAACAACACCTTAATATGAAAACTTGAACTACTACATATCGTAGTAGAATTCTGACAAAGATGGCAAGAACCTTTTAGTAGTAGTCTTGACTAACCATCCCTTAACGATAGTGTCAATATCTCCCAAAAACTGATATTTTCTTGTCCTCGTCTGCATTAAAATATCAAGTGGTATGTACATCCCCTCCCCCAATTTGGTAGATATTTGCCGTGTAGAACGCTAGTTATATATATATCAGCTTACTCCACAGTTCAATACTAGTATTGAAGCCTCCACAGTCCAATACTCTTACCAGAGCAAAGTCAAGATAAACTGAGACGTCATAGCCTAAGCAGATAGATGGATTGGCAAGATAAAATGATCAAGCCAGACAAAGCTCCGCTAGTAAACGCTTACTTTGAGAAATTAGTATCTGATATGTTTGGTTGGTCCTTGATGAATATTGACAGTGCACCATCATTTCTTCTACTGGTTATATAGTGCCTGTATCAATTAGCAAAAGTACACAAGTAAAAACAAACAAGTTCGTGGCAAACGTACATGACATATGATGCCAAATAAGATTATGGAATAAATAGGAAAAATAAGAAATCCTAGGAAAGGAACAAATATAAACATTCTAAATGATTATGTGATACGAGTCGCCGTACGAGCACCCTTTGGTCGCGGAATTACCAAAAGGTGGGTTGAGAAAAAGACAACTAAAACACAAGAACAATTCAGTATGGCGAAGGAAAATATCTTCTCTAGATTATGAAGAATCAATTATTACAAATCTCTCGCTCACAATCTCACTAGAATCGAGAACAACCTCTCAATCCTCTCTAAACCCTAATACAATAATTAGAATCTCTCTTAATTACCTCTCTGATTGCTTAGAAACCCTAAAACAATTCTTTATATAGGTGTACAAACGTGGATAGCAATCTGGTAAATAACCAAGCCCAAAACCAACAGGATTTTGTGTGAACAGAAACCCAACCAAACCAGGAAACCATCGATGAGTCGACTCATGACTGAGATGAGTCGACTCATGACACATGGGTCGACTCATAAACTGATGAGTCGACCGAGCAGAAACTTTTGACAAAACGGCTGGGTTTCGTGAGTCGACTCATGACAGTCATGAGTCGACTCAACCTGATGAGTCGACTCATGTTCATGTATAAGTCGACTCACGAGCTAAAAACTGGATTCTTCGAATCTGCTGCTCGTCGTCTCGTTCTACGCTTCCACCTGCGTTCCACTGTACTGTTTTACACCTCTATTCTCATGCTATCATGAGAATCATCTATCCTCAAGCTCCCATAAGGATCGCTAAGCTCCCGAAGAGAAGATACACCCGTATCATGGGTCCCCTCTTTAGGAACTTGAAGTCTCATTCAAGTTAGAACTTTTGCTGAGGAAACTCTCGAGCTCCTCCATCTTTTCTGCACCATCTGGTCCTGCTAGGAACCCGATCTCGACGTCCGATCGGAAACATCTCATCCATCCCGCGTCTTGTCGTAATCACCTTTCGTCCCAAGTTACAATCCTTTATCGATGGTTTTTCTGAAAGTCTAATGCACAGCGAGATAAACTTCTTGCTTGCATTCACTAGTCTCTTCGCTCGCGTCACCGTCCCCAAGCTTGTCTCCCTCGGAAGAGATGCCGAACAAAATATGAGCTTCTCACCATCCTTAGTGAATGTGTACTTCTAAACCCGTCTCTCGTAGATCGCATATCTATCCCATAAGTACGGATTGTCCAGTATAATCTGACAAACATCCAATGGAATGACATCGCACGTGACCTCGTTAATTTACGACTCGTGGAGCGCAAATCTGACAGTGCATTGATCAACTACACTCAGTTTCTCCTCCTTCTGAATCCACCCCAATGGATAGGGCTTCGAATGCTTGACCGTCTTCAGACCCAGCTTCTGAACCAATGCTTCAGATATTAAATTCTTCTCGCTGCCCGAATTAACAATGGCATCAACCAAACTGGTCTTCACTTGCAACTTAAGAGCAAAGAGTTGCTCTTTCGGGTCGTCGTTCTCTTTCGTGGTCTGCTTCCCCGCCATAAGGTTGTGAGACTGTTGTTGGGCTCTGTCATCCCCGGGACTTCTTTCGGACCTTGAGCTATCATGTATGTCTTTTTCTCCTCCTTCTTCTACAACCCTCTTGGCTTGAGATGAGGATACTTCTCCCAGCACCGATCAGCTGTGTGCCATGTCTTCTCACAGTGACTACAAATCAGCCATGTCTTCCCTGGATCACCCTTCTTCTTCTCCTCCTTAGATTGAGAACCACTAGACTCGCCTCCCGTCTGTTTGAAGTCTCCTTTAGCATCGTTGCCCTTCTTTTGCTTGCCCTCGAGGGCACTAGCCTTCACGCTCGCCTCTGTATTTGATTCCACCGTGAATAGCTTCATCTCCTTTTGGATGTAATCGCTCAATCCTACCATATACTTCATAAACACGAAATATTCTTCTGTCGCAATGGTAAGGACCATCGTCTGCTGCTGGAACTCCGTGGTGTATTTTTAAACGGTTTGATTGACCCTTTGGCGCAAGCCATACCACTTGTACCAACGCTCTTTAAGGAATCCCACCGGATAGAACTGCTTCCTCAGTAACTCCTTGAACTCGTTCCACGACACCGCCTTCCTATGAAGCACGGACACGCATAACATGAAGCTGTGTCGTGTCGTGTCCGTGTCGGACACACGTGTCGAACACATGTATCCTATGTATTTTTTAGGATTTGCCTCGTGTCGGCGTGTCGGATGGCCGTGTCGGATCCGTGTCTGTGCTACATAGCCGCCTTCTTCTCCTACTTACAGTAGGATTTTCACCACGTCAACATGTGCCCTGAAAGCTTCAAAGTTGCGAACATAATCTTTTCTTTTGACGAATAGCCATAAAGAGTAAAATACGTCTCCATCCGCTCGATCCAGTCATCAAACCTCTCGACGTCAACACTCCCATCATACACAGGAATCTCCACCTTAAAGTCAATCTTCAGGTTCTGATAAGAATTCTTACCCCCTTGATGCAATGCAGCCTTAACGGTCTCCTCCTCCTCGTCGGAATCTGAATCTACTCTCTTCACATCGGACTCAACAGTTTTCTTCGAAGAAGATTCACCTTGTTTGCCACCTCCATAGATAAGACTGACGAGTTGTGTAAGAGTCGAACCTATCGTCTCGATCTGCTTCTCCAATGCATCAATTCTCGTGGAATTGTCTCCTTCAGCCATCTTCTTCCTCCTTAAAACCTGGACTCCTTTCAATAAAATAAGGATCTCGTCAAGCTTCTTGTATTGCGATCGAGTCAGAACTATACACAGGATGCTCCTTCACCGGATCTGATTGCTCTGATACCAACTTGATACGAGTCGCCATACGAGTACCCTTTGGTCGCGGAATTACCAAAAGGTAGGTTGTGAAGGAGACAACTAAAACACAAGAATAATTCAGTATGACGAAGGAAAATACCTTCTCTAGATTATGAAGAATCAATTATTACAAATCTTTCCATCACAATCTCACTAGAATCGAGAACAACCTCTCAATCCTCTCTAAACCCTAATACAATGATTAGAATCTCTCTTAATTACCTCTCTGATTGCTTAGAAATCCTAAAACAATCCTTTATATAGGTGTACAAACGTGGATGGTAATCTGGTAAATAACCAAGCCTAAAACCAACAGGAATTCGTGTGAACAGAAACTCAACCAAACCAGGAAACCGTCGATGAGTCGACTCATGACGGAGATGAGTCGACTCATGACACATGGGTCGACTCATAAACTGATGAGTCGACCGAGCAGAAATTTTTGACAAAACGGCTGGGTTTCGTGAGTCGACTCAACCTGATGAGTCGACTCATGTTCATGTATGAGTCGACTCACGAGCTGAAAACTGGATTCTTCGAATCTGTTGCTCGTCGTCTCGTTCCACGCTTCCACCTGCGTTCCACTGTACTGTTTTACACCCCTATTCTCATGCTATTATGAGAATCATCTATCATTAAGCTCCCATGAGGATCGCTAAGTTCCGAAGAGAAGATACACCCGTATCATTATGTTCCCAGATCGCATCATTAAATCCTCAGGGAACAAAAAGAAGTGTTCCATCAGCACAAGAAACAAAAGGTAAAGAAAGGCATACATCTGAACCAGCCAAAGGTGCGATGACACAAGCAATTCCACGTTGCGACTCAAGGGGAAATTCTTCCAAAAGAAGAACACAACCAGATATTCCTTTAGAGATCGATAAAAAAACATTGATGATGTTATTTTCATCTTTCAAATGCTATTCTTCAATATAGTGCATAGTTCAAACCCAGAACGATAGCTAACAGCCATTGCACATATTAAAGAAGTTATTAGTACCCATGGAAACTTCAAGCAATCGGTAAACACACAAAAACTAGAAGAAATTGTGTCAAATATCCTACCTAAGTTTAGGTACTATCCAACTTTGGAGGTAAAACATCAAAACTAGCAGTCTACTCTCAAATGTACAGGGGAACTGATTGGAGAATATAGAGAGGTTGATCAGGTACCAGAAGAGAAAATTAAAAGTTTGACACTGAAATACAAAAACCTGAGAACATTGTCTCATGGTTAAGCTTTCAAACTTTCCGCTTTGTGAATAGTAGTAATAAATCACTACCAAAACTGAAGGCCATCAAAATCACCCTCAATCTATAATTACAATCACCCATGCATAGAATTTACTTTTTTTCCTATATTCCACGGTTCTCTTTTTAAAACTTTGATCAGGTGGCATACCATAATAACCTATGCAAAGCAACAAGCCAACATCAATAAGAGCAAAACTCACTAGACAATTAGTCGATCATAAACTTGCTCTTAGAAGTAAAGTTATGTCACCCAGATTCTTCATAGAGGGGGAGCCAGTAGAAGTATCACAGTTAGAAATACTTAAGAACACCCATTCTGATTCTTCTAGTACTTTTGCAGATTCTTCCACATGAAAAATACTAAATTAAGAAGGAACAAGGCAGTAACATATGCCAATCCAGTAATAGTATTCTATCATTGCATTCCCTACTATAACTAATTTACTCTTCATCGATGTTTTACAAAGCAGACTGGTGTCCGCCTAGGCACCTACTGAGGCCTAAGCGGTACTTAACTTACCACCTAGGTCTTGGGAGTGCCAAGAGGAGTATGTGCCGCTTATATAGACTACACAACATAAAAAAGGGATATATTGCTTGCTTAGACATAGTAACGGATAAAGAGAGTGGGCCGAGTCTAAATGGATAGGATCAAAACTCTATATCCAACTCCATTTAAGGTAAATGACGATGATAGGATTTTGAATATTTGAAAAGGATCCTTCACCACTTGATGCTAAAACGCCTACATGCCTCCTAGGCGCCCACCTAGACGCCTGGCTGCAGCACGCTTGATCCGGTGCCTAGAAGCTCCTGGTGCTTCCTAAAACATTGTTTTCCAACTTCAAAAGTTTCACTATAGTTCAGCACTAGCCACGCAAAGACTAAAATAGAATGATGTAGTAAACATAAACTTTCAAAATCTTTATGCAGGTGTATATATCAACCAACATCTAAAATGTGTGTACATGTGTAACTGTGTCATCATATCCATTTTCTTCTCTGGTAATGATGGAATGAGAGTAAGAATATCCGGTCTTTGCACATTAGATGCAGACTCCATCAGAAAAAGAGTTGAAATTACATGCTTGAATAAAGATGAAGAGGAAATTAATCACCTGCAGCATGGCATGTGGCATACAGGATGGCTTACCCTGAGAACGCCCAACGAGACACAATCCAACCTATAAAGATCCTTTACTTTTATTGTCCTATGTTAAATCATATTTCCTCTAAAATAACCAAGGACGAATAACTTTTAAGATACAAAAAATGTTTTTTCAGAGTAAAACAGCATACGATTAACTGAGCATCCAAGCACACCAACTTATGCATTAGTATGTAAACTATCCAGCTATCGTACATGTTTACACATTAATGGGGCAAAATTTTGAGAATTTACAGATTAAGGCATAAATGATATGTTAAAGAGAAATTAAATGAATAAAACTAATCTTCACCACCTCGCACATTTCTCCAGCAGCAAAAGATTGTTCACTTGGAATACTATCCAGCTGATATCAAAATCCATCCAGATACTATAATATACCAATATCCAGCCATAAGCAAAATAAGTTTTGATGTTAAAAAAGATAACCACAGGTTGGTTTGGTTGATATGACTAACCTTATTTAATCCCCGCTGAGGTGATGAAGCCTTGACTGTGGATGAGAAGCTTAAAATGCCTAAGCACAAGCGAAAGATGCAGACATGAACCTGTCAACAGTTTCGATGATATTTCAGATGGTACCTCTTTTGCAGTTCCTTGATTCTTCTCTAATAACTTACAAAAGCATGTCAGACCATCTCCTTTAATTTTCTCACTCAGACAAGCGCCAGTGCACTTGTGTGACTCCTGTATACAGTCTTTTACGTGGAAAAAGTATCGATACTGAGAGAACTACTATCTTATGTTACTTATTTGTGTGCCATTACAGCATAAAATGGCATAGTACAAGGATAGAATTAATATGCACATGTGCTACTTTCTGAATGATGCAGTACACATTTGGATGCATATGTTGAATAGCAGAATGGTTGCAATGTTGCATCAGGGTTCTACAGAATAAAGAAAGGTATTTATAAGAAAAAAAATGCTCCATTTAGTAGATAAAGTTTAACTATATAAAGCTCTGTCAGAAAAGAATATGTATTAAATAAATTTCCTTGCATGGCAAAGAAAAAAGATTAAAGAAGACATTGTTTAAATAAATTGCAATTGAAGCATCAAATCTATGGGAATAATCCCCTTCAACTTTCTGATTCGAGACAGAAAGACTTGCAAAATCACCATTGTAGAAATATCATATAGACAAGTTGTAGAAATTGCAAAGCCCCGTCTATTGGAAGATCTCTGTCAACTTGTCAATACAAATAAAAAAGAAAGCTTGTCAGCTGCAAACGTCCATAGTGTCTGCATTCCCATGGGTAAACAAATTAAAAATCCCATCCACTTCAATGCACTTCTAATCAGGGTTCAACTCCTACAGAAAAAAAAACAATTACTCGAATTCTTGATCTGACATGGTGTTTTCCTGCATAAAAGCTACAGTTCAATAAATCTTGTATTGAAGTCCATTGAAGTCATACATGTTAGTGAAGACTTCATGAACTTGGAGAGTATTCTTCATCGATTATGGTGTTCGTTCTCGCTTACAGGAGAGCTATAGCTTTCATCATGTTTCATATGAGTCAATGTGATACAACACAAAATGATCCTTGACCATACGGGTACTGTAGTTACCACTCTGCATACTGATCATGTCTCCATGGACATCTTTGGTCAGTCAAGCTACTTTCCTGGCCAAGGACTCATATATTGCTAATCCCTTTCGTATGTTCATTCTTATCATTTTTGGATTAATGGAGTGTTCAATCCAAAGAAACTCCCCGCAGTAAATCACCTTGACTAATTTCAGACTAAAGGATTGATAGATTGTTATGGTTTCTGCTTTAATTTCTTGTAATTGTCATGATCTTTGCATCAACAACAATTGAGGTACAGACTTTTTGAAAAACCAAAAGTGAAAAAAGAGTATATAATGCATTTACACAAATACATGCATATATCTACAAACGTACATCACAAAAAGAAGCATGTTTTTTTTTTGGTAACGAGGGAACCCCGGTTAGTGCCTCCACTTGAACTCCCTTTGGAGTCCGTCGTGCCCCGGTTCGAATCCCCCCAGACCCCCACGACCACAAGGAGCTACCTCTATGGTTGCTCGAGGGCTCATCCCCCACACGTGAGGGCTGCGGGCCCCACACGGCGGGGCGTGCAGTGTGTGGTCCGGTTGGATCCGAACCAGGGACGACGGGTCGAGCCGCCACTGACCAGATAAAACCCCGGCCTCCACCCCACCCGTGAGCGTGGACAGCAGGTGAATTACTCGCGGGGATTCGAACACACGGTCATCAGGGAACGAAGTCCTAGGCGGCATGTTGCAACAGCTTCTGAGATACTAAATTTTACAATTTCAGAATGTTCTTTGTTCAAGTGGCATCTCTGAAGTAATAAAGCATTAACATGTCAATAAATTGGTAGACGTATAAGACTAAGTGACCTCATGTCAAAGGCATTTGCCTCATAATTCCATTGGAAGCATGTGCAGGTCAACATTCATCCTAAATCAATCTCTAATCACTAGATGAAAAAGTCTCCCTCTTCCCATTCTATTTTTCAACTTCATTCAACTTTTCTCAAATATCTGTAAAATCAAAACATATATTCCTCTATTGAATTATGGTATCTCAAGACCTTTTGTCTGCAGTCTAAGATGATTGCCTCGATCTTTATAAGTAAGTCGGTTTCAACAAACTAACCGTTGGAAGCATAACATACAACGCAGCGGAAAATTGCATATCATGTAGATTAATCGAAATTAATAAAATCTAGAAAAAATACTTGAAACGCTTTTTGAATTTCTTTGATAATCCGTCCCAAGATCAAAACAAAATAGCTTCCTCAAGAGAAAAAGCCTTCAACCGAAATCCACCCGTCACCGAAGCGGAGCAATACTGAGAGATAGGTTCTCAAAATCTATTTTCTTTTTTTTCTCATCTTTTCAAGACCACATATGAACCATATATATAGGATTGGACCTGCCTTATAGATTTTAATTTCAAAACAATTCTTAATTGTTTAAAACTCTATCCATAACATTTAAAGATAGAATATTCTTTTCATAACAATTAGGATAGAAATAGAATTGTATTGCATGTAAACCTCTTCTAATGACATTAGTGAGACCAATTAGGTCCCATATCAAAAAATAATTATTAATCAAATTAATAATTTTAATTTAACAATCAAATCCCTATCCGACCAACTGTTCATAAAAGCTTTTCCATAATATGGGATTAAATATTCATGAATAATATTATCTTACATTCAACCCCCTCCAGCATTAATTTATTTTAGAAAACTTTATTGAGCAGAACGAATCACCTATTTGCTCATTCCTAAAAAGTAGCAATCCAATGATCATAAATAAAAAATCATTTTGAAACATTAAAATATTTTATTTTATATGAAAATAATTTCAGAAAAATAATTTCAAAAAAAATTCACTCGTCGACAGGAATTTAATATCTTCAAGGGATATGCATAATAAATTAACTCATAAAAATGAGTATACTGGATCCTATCTAGATATCTGATACGAGTCGCCGTGCGAGTACCCTTTGGTCGTGAAATTATCAAAAGGTAGGTTGAGAAGAAGACAATTAAAACACAAGAACAATTCAGTATGGCGAAGGAAAATACCTTCTCTAGATTATGAAGAATCAATTATTACAAATCTCTCCCTCACAATCTCACTAGAATCGAGAACAACCTCTCAATCCTCTCTAAACCCTAATACAATGATTAGAATCTCTCTTAATTACCTCTGATTGCTTAGAAACCCTAAAACAATCCTTTATATAGGTGTACAAACGTGGATGGCAATCTGGTAAATAACCAAGCCCAAAACCAACAGGAATTCGTGTGAACAGATACCCAACCAAACCAGGAAACCGTCAATGAGTCGACTCATGACGAAGATGAGTCGACTCATGACACATGGGTCGACTCATAAACTGATGAGTCGACCGAGCAGAAACTTTTAACAAAACGGCTGGATTTCGTGAGTCAACTCATGACAGTCATGAGTCGACTCAACCTGATGAGTCGACTCATGTTCATGTATGAGTCGACTTACGAGCTGAAAACTGGATTTTTCGAATCTGCTGCTCGTCGTCTCGTTCCACGCTTCCACATGCGTTCCACTGTACTGTTTTACACCCATATTCTCATGCTATCATGAGAATCATCTATCCTCAAGCTCCCATGAGGATCGCTAAGCTCCCGAAGAGAAGATACACCTGTATCATGGGTCCCCTCTTTAGGAACTTGAAGTCTCATTCAAGTTAGAACTTTTGCTGAGGAAACTCTCGAGCTCCTCCATCTTTTCTGCACCATCTGGCCCTGCTAGGAACCTGGTCTCGACGTCCGATTGGAAACATCACATCCATCCCGCGTCTTGTCGTAATCACCTTTCGTCCCAAGTTACAATCCTTTATCGATGGCTTTTCTGAAAGTCAATGCATAGCGAGATAAACTCCTTGCTTGCATTCACTAGTCTCTTCGCTCGCGTCACCGTCCCCAAGCTTGTCTCCCTCGGAAGAGATGCCGAACAAAATATGAGCTTCTCACCATCCTTAGTGAATGTGTACTTCTAAACCCGTCTCTCGTAGATCGCATATCTATCCCATAAGTACGGATTGTCCAGTATAATCTGACAAACATCCAATGGAACGACATCGCACGTGACCTCGTTAATATACGACTCGTGGAGCACAAATCTGACAGTGCATTGATCAACTACACTCAGTTTCTCCTCCTTCTGAATCCACCCCAATGGATAGGACTTCCGATGCTTGACCGTCTTCAGACCCAGCTTCTGAACCAATGCTTCAGATATCAAATTCTTCTCGCTGCCCGAATCAACAATGGCATCAACCAAACTGGTCTTCACTTGCAACTTAAGAGCAAAGAGTTGCTCTTTCGGGTCGTCGTTCTCTTTCGTGGTCTGCTTCCCCGCCATAAGGTTGAGACTGTTGTTGGGCTCTGTCATCCCCGGGATTTCTTTCGGACCTTGAGCTATCATGTATGTCTTTTTTTCCTCCTTCTACAACCCTCTTGGCTTGAGATGAGGATACTTCTCCCAGCACCGATCAGCTGTGTGCCATGTCTTCTCACAGTGACTACAAATCAGCCCTGTCTTCCCTGGATCACCCTTCTTCTTCTCCTCCTTAGATTGAGAACCACTAGACTCGCCTCCCGTCTGTTTGAAGTCTCCTTTAGCATCGTTGCCCTTCTTTTGCTTGCCCTCGAGGGCACTAGCCTTCACGCTCGCCTCTGTATTTGATTCCACCGTGAATAGCTTCATCTCCTTTTGGATGTAATCGCTCAATCCTTCCATATACTTCATAAACACGAAATATTCTTCTGTCGCAATGTTAAGGACCATCGTCTGCTGCTGGAACTCCGTGGTGTATTTTTAAACGGTTTGATTGACCCTTTGGCGCAAGCCATACCACTTGTACCAACGCTCTTTAAGGAATCCCACCGGATAGAACTGCTTCCTCAGTAACTCCTTGAACTCGTTCCACGACACCGCCTTCCTATGAAGCACGGACACGCATAACATGAAGCTGTGTCGTGTCGTGTCCGT